TGTCATAACTCCCACATCTTTTCAGACTCAAGATTTCTAGTTTCGGAAATATTTTACAAGTAGAAATGCAAAACTGCTGGGACAAAAGAGCTAGGATTTTCTACTGGGATCAGATTTAAAAACAGCCCCAAACAGATGCGTGATTCAGTTTATGTGTGTAGACGGCGTGACTGGGGGATTTTCCATCCTCTACTTCTCTGCTTCTGTTTCCAGACATTCAAGTCAGAATGTTTATTTCAGCAGTTCTCTTTCCATAGTAAAAGATTTTTAACGTCCTTTTTCTTTCAGAGGAACTTGATTTGCAAATTTGTAATTGTTCTCAATCTTTTATCCATAGTCATAATTATACATAAAGTTTTAATTACATTCATACAGCCCTACCTTATATTCACTTGAACATCCTTTGGAAAGTTGCACCTCTACATCAACATTCAAGATAAAATTTTTTTAAAAAGTTGGGATTTTTCTGTCATAAATGAACTGAATGATTAAGTTTTTAACTTGAATGGCGTCATTGATGTGATTTCGTTTCTTTCCTGACACAGGGCCAGATTTTAGACATAATCCAGCCATTTGTAATGGGACTGGGACCATTTTAAAAGCTTACTAAAACTGCTTGGGGTCGTTCTCTTGTTTAAACACTCAGCTGTCCCCAGGTTTCAACAATGTAACTGTTGTGGGGAAAAAAACAAAATTATTTCAGAGCACTCCACCTCCTTCCTTGTTTAACTGTTACTGTGTTGCAGCTAAACGGCCCCACAGCCTGATGCTGCCACAACCACGTCAGGCGGCTGGAATTTTAAGCTTCGATTTCCCTGAACGTACTTTTTAAAAAATGTGTTACATGTTTTATGTAACTAATGAAAGGTGTGACTGTGTGCTGTTAAGGTCAGATTGGACAATCGGATGTTTTAACAAGACATGATAGTCACAAAGTCAGGCGAAAGCTGGTTTTGAAATTGAAGAAGTCTAACGTCAAGCCTTTTGAAATCCTTGCCAGAACTCCAGGCTGACATTTTTCCTGAACGTCAACTAACTTATAAACTTGATGAAGAAATGTAATCATCGATCCCAACCAGGAGCTTGTGCAAGTGTGTGACTGAGGTACAAGCTGCTAAGTAACAATTAAATAGAAGTGGGTGTCTGGACTTGTGCCTATATGCATAATTATAATCATGGATTGACAAAATATTCTTTCTAGCTGTCTGGAAATCATAATTTCATCTTTTTCCAGGCTTCTTCTGCACTTAGTCGCTGTCGGTAACGTCAAACTGTTTGCTTTGAAGTCAGGTGAGGCGAATGCCACGTTGGTATACATCATACATTTATTAGTGAACAACCCTCTCAAATCAGCCACAACAATTAAAAAAAATGATTGCACTACTTGGTAAAGCATAACTAGCAACTTTCATTTAAAAAAAGTACAAATCTTAAAAATTTCAAACAGTATACAGATGTATATATAATACACTAACTAGTTATGTTAAATGCTACAAACAATATGATTCCAATGGAATGGAAAAAAAATTATATCATTAATAAGAACCATTTCCTATATATAATATATATTAGTCGTTTTCTCCCGCCCACCCTCACAAATACAAACATGGAAAACAAATGAGGTAACTGTAAATGTGCAAGTACCAAAGCAAAAAAAAAAAAAAAAAAGTATATCTGCCTAAACACAGAACACATGCCCCCTGGCTCTGTGGGTGGGTGGGTTAAATCTGATGTTCAGGCAAGGACCCCTGGAGGCCGAGGAGAGTAATAACAGTAAACCACGATCCCACCACAGCAAAAATATCATTGGTAAACAATAAATGGTATCTACGGAGCAATCAATCACAATTCCTAAATAAACTTTAGCTGCTTATTGGAGAATCTTTTTTATTCCTTTAATTTTTTAGTTATTTATTTATATATATATATATATATATATATAATTTTTTTTGCACCACACAAGCTGTGAGATTATTCATTATTCACTCTTAACAGAAAGACTACAAGACTCTATTTTGAGTTATCGTTAAAATTAGCTCATTAACTAGGCCTTAAATGGAAGGTTCTTTTTTTTTTAACAAAGTTGCTGGATACTGTCAATTAAATATACTTTTCCTCCATAAAGGAATAGTGCTAACATTACCATGAATTAAGGTATCTTCTATAAGTGAACAATACATTTTTAAAGATATTCATACACTGAGAGCAAGAGCCTGATAGGCAGATACAGTACTACACTGAAATAAGTATGACAACACTTTTATTCATTCTTTTTTTTTTTTTGCTTTTTACTTAAATCCCTTAAAACTATATTGATTTTCACTGACATTGTTTCGGGGTATTGGTATAACATGCTTTAAGAATACATGAGATCCATGACAAACTATTGCATTCACGCGTGTGAGTTTTCATACCTAAAAGCAGAACATCTAGCACCTTTTTACTATGGCTTTTTGATAAGACTACAGTAGTATCAGAGCATGTATTTCTCAGTCGTTAGGGCAATAACAGTAACACAATGTATGTAAGAATTAACCTCTTCTTTTTTTTCCTTCTTTTTTTATTTTTAAATATGTCCCCCTATATAAAATGAAGTTAGCGCAATAAAATCTTGTAGTCATTCAGTTCTATTACAAATGTGTGCAGTACAATGCATGGCAGTTATCAGCTGAGCGTTAAGATCCAAACTTCCAGAACCCCGAGCCAACTAGAGCTAAAAATCAGTTGGGATCTGGTTGACGAGCATGCATATTGTGCACCATTAAATAGGTCCCCCACCAGATTTTATTATTATTTTTTTTAAAGACATCCTCCACTGTAACATTTGTTTTACCCCCCCCCCCCCCTTTTTTTCTTCTCTTTTTAAAGTCATGCAAAAACACATCTGAAGTCGATTTAGGAGTGACTTAGGTAGGATAGAGTGCGCTGTGGCACATTTAAATATGGGATCACAGCTGCTATGTGTGAAAATATGGTCAGAGTACAAGAACAGAAGTCTAACAGGTTTGAATAATACACTTGTAATGAGCTATCTTCTTCTCAGTGAGTATTGTTAACATACGTATTGATTTTTTTCTTGCATGCCTGTCTTCAAGTGGTGTAATATTTACTATTTCAGACAAAACAATAGTATAATCAGTTACAATAAATCATTTATGGTCTAAGAAAACCAACCAAACTGAATTCAGATATACCCTTTTCTTGGCATCCGTTCCATTTGGGGGTTAAAAAAAAAAAATGGACTGTTCATCTTTATTTTTATGTATTTTTTTTATATATATATATACCGAGAGGCCCTGAGAGATTTTTTTTTTTAAACTTACAATATATGCCAGCAAATAGATATGTACACATAGGTTAATTCTCAAAGCTGTGGGTTTAACTCATTTAAATGGCTTTTTTTTCTCTTGAAGGTGGCACACGTCAAAGACTCACATTCACTTAAACAAAAGTAAAGAAAAGGCAAGAATCCTTTACACGTCAAAGCAAAGGTCACGACTGCCTGTTAGTGCTCACTGGGGCAGTTAAAGAGACAAGAGTGAATTCCAAGCAAAAGTTCATTCGTCGCTCTTTCCCTTCCTAACCCCAATTATATGTCCTGTATTTTACGCGTAACACGAGCGGAGGGGAGGGGAGGAGAGGACCAGAAGTCTTACAGTGTTTCTACACAACTGAACACTCCAGCTGAATCTTCTGACTGTGGGAAACAAGACAGCTGGTGTTAACACACGGAGCGTCACCAGAGACTTCTAACATTCGTCTGTCTTCAAACATTTATCTAAAAGCATCCACACTGAGGCTGTACATACAGTTGCTCTTTTACAACACCGTTTTTACCGTAGCCTAAGACAATGACCTGACCAAGTTACCGGATTAGAACAGACACCTAATGCAAACATCATTAGTGCTTCAACGGTTTCCTTCAATGGAGTTTTCTCTTGAGGATAATAAAACCAATAAATAAAACACCTTTTTTTTTTCTTCTTCTTCTTCTTCTCCTTTTAAAAACTATTCAAAGAAGTGGAAACGACAAAGTACTTTTCAGGATTAATAACAGGTTTGTGCTTGTCAACGTCATAAAAAGGCAGATCTGAAATATTTAACAGTAGGCTAAATACGTATATTGGATTTGGCTCACAAAGAAAGAAATAAAAAGCCAAAGTCTTCCTAAAAGGGGAAGAAAATGTCCGCTCACAGCACGTATTGCTTCCTGCACGGGCTTCCAGAACTCGTCGGTATCGGCGGCGCCTTTAGACGAGCTCTTCCTTTCTTTTAAAACAACCAGAGTGTAACCACATGCTATTCCCCCCCCCCCCCTAGTGGTGCTTTTCTTTTCTTTTCTCTTTTTTATGTTTTTTTTTTTTTTTTTTGCTTTTTTTTGGGTGAGCAAGCAGTTCTTTTTAGTATGCTTCTACGTCTCATCTTTTCTTAAAAGTGAATCATTTTGGTGGCAATACTTGATAATATTGCTAGTCTGAATCAACAGTTCATGCAAATCCTAGCATGCTGCCCTGTATCCAGTGGTTACACAAAATGCATTGGCTCTGTGAACAGGACAAACATCCACACACACACACACACACACGCGCACGCACTTGCTAGAGAAACAATGCTGACGTGAAGAAAGGATTGTAGCACTTGTGCAGTTAACGGCGGACGACCCCACGACACCCCCCCCCCCCCCCCACCCCCCAAAAAAAAAAAAATCCATCACTGCTTTTGTACAGATCCCTGTTCCAGAGAAGATTATGAGGGCTCGGAGACACCCCTATAAGCCGCACGTCCCATCCGCTTGCAGTCCACGACCTCGGGCTTAGCAGAATCTGTATGCCACCGCAGCAAATCACACTTTCACAACAGCATTGGCAAAGTTTAAAACAATTCAGGAGGAAATCTATTAAAAACAATCGATACGTTATTGCAGAACATACATTATTAACAAGTCACTTTGCCATACACCAACACAAACATGCATCTCCAATGGTTAAGCGTCGCATCTGAACACAGAAACCCACGTTGAAGTACTCCTAATATTTTTTTTTTTTCTGCTAGTTGCACAAGGCGTCCAAGCCTGCCATCCTCCAGGCTTCCCGACTCCTCTCCTCCAATGCAGGACTCCTACTTTTTTTGTGAACACTACCAAAAATCCACAAATAAAAAGAGGAAACCCTGTAAACAAAAGCAGCAAATAATGCATTGTAGGGGAAAATCTTTGGAATCTGCATCGTGGGAGGCAGAGACAGAAGTGGCTGGCAATCCCAGAACTCTGGCTGTAGGCAGTGGGTTTCGTGACACTCGCACAACGAAGCACAGCGGAGGAACAACGCGCTCCAGAAACAATCCTGGGTTTCTTTATCGTCAACTGAGGGGCAGGAGTAGAGGGTTTGTTAAGCTATATTTACTGGAGGACGCAGGTTATGTGGCAGGTGTCCCCAGCTTTGAGACAGACTCTGGTGGGTGCAGCATTCCAGTTCAACACTCAGAGACCTGCCTCACTCCGCCTCCCGGTGGACGTCTGAGGCATCCGCTCGACAGATTGGGCAAGTGCGATTGGTCTGGGGGAGAAACGGTAGAAACGCTTTAGCATCCAGAAAAAAATTTGTGCTAGAAACTAAGCTTTACTGAAAAATCCCAACTTACCTTTAACCATTTGTCCACACATTTAGCATGGAACTCGTGGTTACAAGGTAACACTCGAAGTAGCTGCCTACACTCAAAGTCACTAAAGCACACAACACACCTGTGGGGAGAAAATCAGACAGGTGAGGGATTGCTAAAGGACAAACCTGCTTGTGGTGCTGCAAACAGCTTGAGGAGAGGCTTACAGCGTTTGTTCAGATAGATGATTCTCTGAGTTGAATCTGTAGGACGGAAGTTGCTCAATATCTGCTTTTGTGAGTCCACGTGGTTTTGCTTCACCCAACCTCTCTGCCAAATTTAGTAGTGCCTTAAAAGACAAAAGAGGAAAAGGTGCCGTTAAGAATTCTGTGAGGCGCTGCTGTATCATTCAGAGAAAATGTCATTACTACATTTCTGACAACAAAGTAAATGACTCAGCAGTGAGAAGTTATTGATTTACTGCCTTAGCTGACATAATCAGCCAGTCCCGGTGTTGCTGGTGCTCCTAATAAACAGATGACTTTATCCACATGCTTTGACATCTTCTAGATAAAAAAAATCTCTCAAAATGTATAAATGTAACTTGTGGTGTAAACCCAATCAATTTATATAGAAAATGCAGTCTACATCAAGAAGAACTTAACATGGAAGATTAGTGAAGAGCCAATGCATTGCCTCTGATTAATTTGATTTTTCTTTTTGTATTATTTTACTTGAACTACCCAAAATACACACGAATCAAAATTTCCTTCATAAATTTTGAATGAGAAACATTAAACAAAAAACACTAACTTCATAGTTCTCCATTTCCACATCATCCACATCCAGGTCTAAGCTGATGGCTGGGCCCACTGCTGTTGGAGGCACAGGAAGCATTGACCTGAACAGAAAGAGAGGTATTAACCAATGTGCACACACTGAACCAGCCATATCAGCCTCAATGTACCACTACACGCTCTGCAAATTCAAACCAGGTGAAGAACATTTACCCATGTGATAAATGTAAGCAAAACTATCAGCCTTTCACTTCTTTTGTTCTAGAAGAAAAGCGTATTTGTGCTCTTGTACATGTGAGATATGCGAGCACTGATTGGGTCCTAAATGTAAACAGCATTTCTCTAAATTTCATTAACAGAGTGCTTTTACTGCAGGTACTTACAGGAAGTAAGGGAGGAAGCCAGGGTAGTAAGACGGAGGTGGAGGAGGGGGAGGGAGAGGCTGCTGCAACCGAAATCTTTGTCCGTTCACTCGCCGTGGCAGCATGTGGGGATATGGCTGCAAAATGGATGAAAAAACCCAGAACATTTAGATCATTTAGCTCAGGTAAAACCTAACCCTGTCACTGGACCATTTATTGTGCTTTTTCGATCAAACTAAAACAAGCCAACATAAGAAACTAACAAAATATCTTGTTAGTACAAAAACAACCTGGCATCATTTTTACAGTAATCTGGAAAAACTAATGCAAAAACAGTAGCCTAGTGTAGCTCAGATTTATGCTTTAAATAAGAATAATTTGCAGTTCTGCAAAAATACCTTCCAATCTGTTACAAGATTTTTATAAGAAAACACAAAAAAAAAGACTATAAAAGCAGAGAAACTAGAATCTTAAACATCATCCAGATGGTGTTGGTGAACCTAGAAGAAGAGGACTATTACATCTGAGAAACCGGCTGATGCCCAGAACTGGCTAATTTACAACTCCATCAGCCCTGACCGATGACCCACCCATCAGAATCTCAGAAATACAATCTGTCCCCCCAGCAGCAAATGGAAATACCAAGCATGAGCACAACTAGGCCAGGCTAATATGTCCACTGCTGCTCACTCTTCTTATATCATAGGTGTTAAGCTTGAGAGCATCAATAGCTCTGACTTTTTCGTCTCAACATCAAACTTAAAACCATCAGATGCCATGAATAAGTTACAAATCTTTTTAATCTCATTCGATAATTACTATAAATAAAAGCAATAAGAAATAAGGCTCTTGTTTCTGAACCATTTAAGCAAACTACTTCAAAAAGCTGAGCACTATAATTAGTTAGAGCCATGATTACCTGTTAACCATACTAAACACATCACTTGCTTATTGCAAGCTGCGTTATGGGTATGAAAAACTACCAAGATGCATTTAAGCAACTTGCTTCTGCCAACATTGCACCAGTTCAGCTGCTCAGAGGGCCCCTTTATGAGACCGTGGATGTAATGAATATTTTCCAGCTGTGAATGTGGGTTTCTGAGCAAGTGTTAAATAGGTCAGGCTAAAAAAAAGTGACGAGGGCACCGTCAATTCCCCTTCAGAAAAAAAAAAGAAAAAAAAGACTGGCAAGCCATCTTACCACTCCGAAGGGAAGCTCCTGATGCAGAGGCTCTTGAGGAAGATACTGTAGGGGCAGTGAAGGAGGCAGCGCTGGTGGATGATGAGAGGGAGGGTAAGAGAAGGTGCCTAATGGGTGCTGGTCCCCTCTTAGGTCAACTTCATTGTCTACCCTCTGTAGAGGCTAGAAGGACAGAAAGCCTTATTGTCAGACTCACAGGCTCATAAGATGTTCATACACGCCAAGGCTTATTGTTTGTCGTGTTAATATTAATAAGTGTTTATAAGACTTACCATGCGTGGGTGCTGAGGCTGTAAAGGGACAAACTGGCTCAAAGGAGTAAGGTGCGGCGGCTGGTGGGGGGGTACAGATGGGCTCGGGTGCAATACAAAATGTTCGCTGGACATCAGCGGTGGAAAAGCTTGATAAGACACAGGTATATGCTGCATGGTACATGCCTGTATGAGCTGGGGAGAAAAGACAGCAGAGGAAAAGTACCAAACGTGACTTTCAGAGAATCAGACCCACAGCTGAAGAATCCTCCATAAAAGTAAAGCTAGTTTTGTCCTGATATTGACAACAAGCTAGCTTGAATGACAGCATGTTGTAAGCATGTAGTGAACAGAGGCAAAACAGTGCATAAAAACCACACCACTGACAGTACAACCACAACAACAGGCTAACAAAATGACTATTTCTACAGCAGCACATACAGTGTCTGGCAAAAGGACTTAGAGCTTTTAACATTTTGTCACACTACAACCAAAACCCTGTAGTTTATAAATGTGTAGCGCATAAACGTGAAGTGGAAGAAAAGACACACTGTTTTCAAATTCTCTTACAACTCGAAATCTAAACAATGTCATGTGATTTTTATTTTGCTGAGCCAGATTAATATTTTGCAGAAACACCTTTCTCAAATTAAATTCCAGCTTGTCAGTTTAGGTGGATGGAAAAGTCTTGATACGTTTACAGCTATTCTGTAATTACATGTTTAAGTGGACTTTATTTAATGGACTTCTAAAATAAATTTTGCTTATAAAAGTCAAGAGTAAATAAAAATTGGCATAGTTTTGCTTACACGTCACTATTATAGGACATTTTTGATTAAACCATAATATAAAATCTCAATAAAACACTCAAATTTCTGAATGTAGTGTGTCAAAGTGCAAAAAAGTTCAAGTGTTATTGATTCTTTTGCAAGGCAATGCATTAAACTTCCCCACAGAAAAAAATACCCTATATTTTACTGAGCTGCTGCCAATTACTGTCCAAATGTGGAGACAGACATTTTTAACCCAAGCAAATAGCTTTTTTTTTTTGTCTTATTTTGCTGTGAACAGTGACAGATTGCATGGCTGGTATGGTGTGCTACATGGATGCCACTGACATTTAAGCTCTTCCTTTTCAAACTCACAGGAGGAGGAAGGCAGCAGAGCAGAGAGAGCTGTCCGCTGAACATTACCGAGCATGCTGGGAGCTGCTGAGTGTTGCACCCTGGAAGGGGCTGCCCAGTGTGAATGGGAAATCCATGGGTCGTCACCGTCGTAACAGTGTAAGATATTGGAACGGATCCCTGGTGCATCTTTTAAAATGAGACACAACGAAGGCGGTCAGCGAGAGGGTTTCACAAAGTGGATAAAAATTCTGTCTTTCCCTGGCGCTGCGTTACCTGGTCATGTAGATCCACCATGATGGGGCTCTGCTGGGGCAGGTGGGTCGCAGGGTGAAGCATGCGTGGTGCTGTGCTGGTGTGGCTGTACTGTCTGGACTCATCTAAAGGAACCTGTTGGGGGTGTTGGGAGAAAAACAGGTGGTGGAAGTTCTCATCCTGGACCTGGGAAGTGTGCAGAACAGGTCTGTCTCGTCTCCCCCACTGCCGTCTCACTGGTGGGCTTTAAAGAAAAAGAAGAAAAACATATTTATTCCCTGCTGCTGGCTGCAAAAAAAAAAAAGAAGTTCCAACACAAATAATGCTATCCAAATTTGTTTGCAACATGCAAACATTTTGCCCTGTTCACACACTGGTTTAGTCACAAATACATCAACATGGATGAAAAAAGAAGTGTTGTGTCTTGTCTTGTTCACTAAATTTAATGGAGCGCCTTTTCTACTTTGCTCTCTCATTTTCTCATAAATTCATTGACTACTATGCTTTGCTTGTTTACAAGCAGCCATATTTACAGATCATGTGGCCACACTAACTCAACCAAATTCAACAGGAAAAAATGTGATAATACACCAAAAATCATCACGTTCCGACCAGACCGCACACATTATAAATAAACCATGACTGCACACATAAAATCCATGTGTGAATGAACAGCGCATATATTTTCAGGTTTTGACTTATTTTTAATGCAAAACATTCTCAACGAAGATCATTTGAAATAAATAAAATGAAAAGACAAGAAGAAACGTCACCTTCTCCTGAGATGCACTGGGGCGTTGCAGGGCTCTCCGAGGAACCTCCTGGGGTTTAAGGGGGCTGTTGGTGGCAGCCTATTTACTGCTAATTCCCATGGTCGCATTGGTGACGTCGTGCAGACGAGTCACACTCTGGGGAAAGAAAGCGTATAGTGGAGGCACTTGTATGTGGCCTCTGATTGTCTTAACCCTGTGGGAGAGAAAAAAAAAATCAACATCAAATCAACAACCATGCTCTATGCATGTGATCTTTAAGCATCCACAGAAAATTATGAGCTGAAAGAAAGTTTTTTTCTTTAAAAAAAAACAAACCAATAGCAAACCAATTGTGACTATTGCATTTAGTCACAATTTATAGTAAAACAGGCACTTTTTGAACATAGCAGGGGCCATACTTTGAGAGTAATTCTGTCCTATAGCTAACTGTAGACGAAGAGTATTATATGTTAGATTTAGTGCAGATCGGCAGTGAACAATTGTTGCGTAAAAATATTATATAGAAGATTTGTTTTCCTCTTGGTTTAAGTCTTTTGCCTGTCCAAAATACATATTGTTTTCATTACCAGGTGATGATATTTGTTAATGTACCCAAAATAAAGCCTCTCTTTTCACAGTCTTTCAAAAGATTAAGTTGCATTGTGTTCTGCCACACATAGGGTAGCAGTGTGATGCCACACAGTGCCATACTTATATGGCACCAAATAAGTATAAAGGGAAAGTGAAGCCTAAATAAAGTCCAAAACATTAAATGTATTCAATTTAATCCAATTAGAAGCTTAAAATTATTATTAGGTTTATATTTAGTTGCTTAAAATCATTTAAACAACTAAATATAACGTGTATGACTTCAGCTATTTATAAAAAAATCCGTTCAACTAAAGCAAACATACATTTCAGACACGTTTCAAAAGGAAGATTTTTATAAAAAAAGATTTCAAGCACATTCAGGCACCATGGTATTAATTGCAGTAATGCATGAAGCCCAAATAGTTTGCATATACAGAAGTGCAAAAAAAAAAAGGAAGCCAACATATCTCCACTTCATATAGAACTAATTTGTATATTGTATGATATTTATTTGTTTCTATATATGTTTCTAAATGAACGCAATGGAATAAACAGGGGTCGCTGTGGTTTGCCTCACCAAAAACATGGGATGCCATGTGCTCATAGGACAAAGCAACAACAAAAGATGTGATGGGCATGAAGCACTGCTCGCTTGTGCATACTTTCTGAGACCACTGCTACGTTGCAAGAGTTTTCTTTCAAGACCACGGCAAAGCACTGTGGAGACTGTCGAAGTAGATACCTGCACTACGCTTTCGCCAGCTTTAAGTCTTACATTTTGCGAAAAAACCTAATGTGTCCTTTTAGCGAAGCTATGCTAATGCTTTGTCCAACACTCCCCTGCTTCAGGTGACCAGCAAGCTAATCATAGCTAAGTCACACGCGCATTTTTAGAGTGTTTACAGCACAGTTACAGATTACCCCAAGGAAAGAGCACGTCCATATCATCATGCTACTATAAGCTTAAGCAAAACACAGACAACAGCTTACTTTCTTAGCTAGTTTGCTTCCTTGGTGATTGGAGAGAGCTGCAGGTGTTTCAGCTTCCGAAATCTCGTATCCCATTCGAGTTGTTTATTTTCAAAGGATTTCGTCTAAGCGAATTTCCTTGTCCAACATAGAATGGTAACAGGCCATCAACAGACCGCCGTTTCTTCCGTCAGATATCTGACAATAAACGTCCCCCACCCCCGACTGAGCGGGTACTAGCTTGCTAACGTTAGCCACCTTACACGCGCTCTCGGTCGCTGCATAGGAGAGCCGTGCTCCCCGGAAACCATGGAAACGCTGACCGTTACCGACACCGTCTACCTGAGAGGGGAAACGCCGTTAACTGTCGTTCTACGCGAAGGTTATTTCCCCAACGACAGGAAACATCCCGTTGGCGCGTGTGTGATTCTTGAAGTGCATTGTTATGATAAAACCCCGCCCCCCTCATGTCAGCGACCAATGAGAGCGCAGAAATCGCAGACAGCAGACATCCCAGACAGAGTCTTAGCTACAATGTATCAAAACAAGCGGCGCCTGTTGTTACTGGCTTCTAAATAAAAAGCTCCCTCATACGTGGCAAGGAAACCAAAAAGTAAATAGAATTACACTAAATAACTTTAGGCTATATTTGTTTGCTCTTTTATTTTCTTTTAGAATAGAATAAAATGGGATATATATATATATATATATATATATATATATATATATATATATATATATGCTTATTCCTTACAGAAAGAAAAATCCAGCAGCAAATAAAGTGATATTAGCTCACAATCAAGACAATTCTATTATTAATAGGTGTAAAAATTCAGGTTTCGAATTAATTATGGATTAAAAGTAGATATAACCTTAAATAATTGAACATCAGTTCAATTTGTGCTTTGTGTATTTCTGCAAAACTATTCGTGCAAAAAAAAAATAAAAAATTAATAAATCAGGAATCTATGCAAGGAACAACAAAAAAAACAGCTATTTAGTTTGTCCGGAGCAGAGTTGTACAGGTTAACAGCGACTCTGGGACAGGTTTGCGATGACGGTGTTATAATTTAGCGAATATAACAGTCATAACACAAACAGACCGATTGAACCTACAAAGACTGTGCGCGTCTTTCCCTTTAAGAGAAGTTACTTTACTAATCAAACCGCGTTAACTACTAACTTCGCGTTTCAAAACTTACTTATGCAAGTCACAGCAAGCTCTCAGACAACGTAATGTTTTTTTTTAATTTTAATTTTAATTTTTAATTTTTATTCTGGCCAAAACTTTCACCGAGCTCTGTGCTGACTCTCACTGGAGGCCAGTAGCGTCCTGGTTATGTAATGTTGCACTTTCCTGATCCGGTCAGCTCCTCTTCGTGTCAGGAGAAAACTTGCATCTATGCCTTTTTTTTGCAGGCCGACGTCGGCCGCAGCCGCAAAAAAAATCTAACGTTGCACTTGATGATCATCGAAGTGAATTCGGTGTCATGTGGGAGGCCCGTTTTGTCTAAAGAGACTTGTGAAATTACGTCGTGCAATTTCACCTAAACTCCAACGCGCGGGAGCGACTGCGTCAACGCTCCGAGCGCCTCCAACTTTCTGCGCCTGTTTGAAAAAAATAAATAAAATAGGAGAGGAGAGGAGCCGCCGTGCATGCACCGAATGTAAACATTACAACATCGCTCTCGGTAGCAGCAAAACAAGGAGAGGATGACAGCTAGCAGTCAAAACCGCCTCCCCGCAACGAAATGTCTCGCAACTTTGCGAAATTTCGCCGAGCCGAAGCAGCAGCAAGAGGGAAGAGAGCATTTACCTGATTGTTAATGTGAGACCATCTGATCTGTGATATTTCCCCCCACCCCCTCCCCTTATAACGCTCTCATCTCGTTAGGCTGAGTGCGGCATCCTCTGGTCGAGCTGTTACCGTGTGGAACATTCCGTGGATTTCACCACTGCTGGGGAAAAAAGGTCCTAATAACGAGCGCCCCGCGTCCTCAGCACATGCTGAGAGTGGATTGCGCCGTCTTATGGCTTCCCAACGTCCAAGACTATACCCGTAAAAGCCACATATTTTTTGGTTAGGCAGCGCTAAATCAGCCCTGCGGATGTTTTGGGTTTTCTGCAGTTGTCAGTTACACCCCCATTTCGGCGTATTGCAAGGGCAGGGAGCGCACGGCGAGCGGCCATTTTTACCGTAATGGACAGAAAAGCGCCTCGGTAGCTGATTTGAAAGTTCCAGGCTCGTTTCACGGGTGAACCTTGAGGAAAGACATTCGCAAGATAATCTGCCTTGCAATTAAAATTAACAGGTTTACGCGAGTAAATCAGGCTTAAAAAACAAAATAATCTCAAATTATTTGGCTGTCATATTCATAGAGTTGGGCAGAAGTGTTTTTTTTTATATTTGAAAAGCATTATATTTGAGTTTGTTCAAAATTATATCAAGAACACGGCTAATCCAGTTCTTAAAATGCAACAATTCACGTCACTAATAAAATTGCATTTTAGAATAAAGAAAAAAGAGGCATTTGGAAGCACAGTTTCCTAATGCTATAAAAATGAGGAAATTTGATTCAAAGGTTACAAAACAGACCATGCATATGATAAGAAATATTGGTTGGCTTGATACTAATCTGCTCAGTTTAATACAGTCCAGCCAATCCAAATAAAGCTTGGGAGATGCTGATTTAATATCCAGCAGAGCACAGTCCATACAGTCACAAGTTATATGGCAGGATATAACTTCCTGAATCATTCACTGAAAAAACCCCCAACAAAAACATTTTTTGTGATATTCTAATTTACTATAGACATATTTTTGCTTAATGGGAGACAGGTTAAACGGTGTCTGCACCAACTTTAAGGAGTCTGACTGTTATCCTGTCAGATCCAGAATTTTTCTTGATTTTACAGCTGTGGAAAAAAGAACTGAACATTGATTAGACTGACAGAAGATAAGACAATATAAAAAGTTTCCTTTGTCTTTTTACAAAAGTTTGTTCATTATAATTCTTTTTTTGAAAAAAAAAAAACAAAAAAAAAACATAAGCCTCTACTGATCCTTAAAATCCCCTCTAGTCATTTACTTCTTTCATTGTTTTGTCTGGTCATGGCTTTCATGCTATTCCATAGATCTTGATCTAAATTTTCTGGCTGCTTCTTTGGCCTCCACCTTCTCCTTATCTTTATTGTATAAAAAGGCATCGTATTTTTTACATAACACATCCCTTACTGACGGGTTTACTGCAGTAAAGGATGACCTGCCTTGTCCGTTTGTCTTTTTAAATAGAGAACGCAGGTAGAGATCACGTCAAATTCAGAATCAATAAAAACATTGACATTTGTGCTCTTTAGAGCTCCTTTCAGTCTTATGGCATTGCAATTGAACCGTAGCAGATTCAACGTTTGAATCTCAAAATTTTGATACATGCTTAGAGTTGATAGTTTTTACAGGAAGAAACAATAACCTATTTTTTATTTATTTATTTAGTTACATAAGCACCACAAATATTAACTAAAATAAGGACATATATTCTCTCACATTATTTTCATGATCTTTACTTACAACTTGTAAGTCATGAGTCGCCATCATATACAAACTTCCATCACTGTAAAAAAAAAGTAGCTCTAAATCCCGTTCCGGCTTAATAAAGTCAGGCCTCTGTTAACACTGAAATAACTTAAAGCAACTATTTGCCAGTAAATATTATATGCTGTTACAGTTCCTCACTGGACTTTGCTATACATGGAAAAAACTATAAAAAATAAATTGCTTTGGTTGTTTGTTAATTGACTGTTTTTGGTACAAAATTAACAAATCGACAGTGACACAAAATGATTAAGCTGAAAAATGACAGCATCCCATTAAAATAAAAGCACCATAATCAGCAACAGCAGTTTGTAAAATGAAGAAGCAAAAAACAATAATAGCCTATCATTATTTGTTTAAAATCTTGCGACATGGCAAATATTCTAACAATTCCATAACTTTTCTTCATCTTCTGAAATAAAAAATGCATTTTTGCTCACATTTTTGATTATGAAAAGGAGAGCTCTTGATAAAAAGACAACTTGTCTTTTCGGACAAGTTGTTGTGTCGTCGAGCCGCCACAAGAGGGGGCAAAAAATAGTATTAAAACTCCTCTAATCCAACATTTTCTTTTGTCATCATCCTCAGTTGACAGAGAACGTGACCAATGGATTATTCTATGGTGTGAAGTAAAAAGAAAAGGAAAATCACCCACATAAATATTCTTTGTTGTTCATAAACATGTCTCAAGATGACTTCTTTATCCTTTTTCATTTGACTTGACAAAAAGACAAGCACCATGAACCTTTATTGAAAGGAGAGCAAAACACAGGTCAGGATTCATTTCTTCTTTTCTTGTCTTTTATCTTCTTAGGGAACAATAACAAGAAAAACAACAACACTATGTCAGAGTGCTAGTGAAAGAACAGAAGTCAGACAAGAAAAGAAACATGGCAAAACTAGATTAAAAGAAGAAGAACAGGGATATGCTTTTAAAAAGCATGTCTTTCCATAAAAAACATGAAAAGAGCAACTTCTTAGTGAAAGTCTGTTTAACTTGAGGCCTTTTATTCTTCAGGCATCTCGATGGACTCCTCAGCACAGCACATATCTCAAACTAGTGCCGCTGTTTGATTGTGGTGACGTCAAATATTTTCCATTTGGAACGTCGATATCGAGGCCTAACTGTAAGGTTAGAAACATTGTTTGTATGTTTCTGTTTACTGGTATATCGTATCAAAGGATTTATTACGTTCCTGCCCATTTATATCAGTGTTGTGTTCAGAGCTGCAAGTCATAAACCAAAGTCTATTCGGATAAGGCAGAAGGAAACATTTTTCTGACTGCTGTCATTGACACGCACTTAGAGAACTTTTACATGTTTTCAAAGAGTTATTGAATTTTACATCCACCAACATATTACCTTGTAACGGAAAATTGTGCGTACCAATCAGAATCAATTCTCTATCAAGTTTTGACTATCTTCATCATGCAAGTCACTATGTTACTGTTTAAACATGCCCCTAGGTTTACTGATAAATTGAAAGGATTGTCTTGTATAATCACCTCCTTGTTTAAAAACTTATCCCTCGACTTTTTTCTTGTCACAATAAGTCACCCTTATCAATTTGGTTGCCACACTGGATAATAACGAGACGAGTTTGCTGATTTTGATGAAATTACATGGTCCTATGTGAAATTTATGTTTTTTTTTCTTTTATAAGGTCGGACCTGAACTGCAGATTAGTGTATGAATCACACAGATGCAAAGTTACCAGCCTTGTATGCTGTAATTGTCTGAGGATTTTGTGTCCACATTATACGACAAGAAGACCTGCAGAGTTGCTGTGTGACACAGCATCATTTCACACTCAGTATAGATGTCGCTTGTCAACGGAAGTCGTCTCTTTGTACCTATTTGATTTGCGCAACGAATGTTTATCACTGTCTTCTCAAACGATGAAGAATTGAATGGAAAAACAAATATTTAATGGGAAAAATAAAGATATTTTCATATTGAGACTTTATTAAAATCTAAATTTCCTTGAAAAGTAGGAAAGTAGATGATTGGATGGACAT